GAGAACAAAGGACATCCGATCAGCTACACTCCAAACAATCCACTTTACTGAACCAAGAGAAAACCAATACAGACAGTGGAAATACAGTGGGGGACTGGCATGTAAACGCATTTCATGCTAAAGACAGCACTTATTCATTATATGGGGTAAGCAGCAGACGAGCTGGGCTAGCACCTACAGGAGGAGTTGTGCTTGGAGATTGGAAGTCTCTCTACCTTGAGCAGCAGTAAACATACATGTGCTTCTCATAAAGGACTGCTGTGCTAATTTGGCAGTTTCTGGGCCCCCTTGCCAAGGGAATACCCTCAGTGAAGCTGGGTGAAGAGGAGAATTCATCTGGGGTCTGAGGAGGTACACCAGACAGCTGGAATGCTCTTAAAGGAGAGACTATTTTGTCAACATAGTACATAATTGTACATAATTGCTAAGGAGTATGTCCTCAAGTTTGCAGTTTTATTGGGCATCCCATACACCCTAAACCCCATCCAAGTCAGTAACCCCTTTAATAAAATCACAAAACCAAGCACAAGAACTGTTTACTGACTCTGAATGCACTGTGTGGAAGAAAATGCATGTTGCCTGGCTGTGCAGAGCTGTAGGGGGACCCAAAACTCAGCGACACCTAAGGGGGTAGTACTACATACATATCCCATGGAACCTTGCTGTCTGCAATCAAATTAATAGGAGTAGAATAGAAATAGTTGAAATACAATGTGGAAATGGATATATGATTTTACATTTTGACCACAGAAATGCTTTAGTGGATAAGGGGGAATTTATTATTATTATACCAGATTTATATATTGCCAACAGTTTTCACAGTGCTTTACAATATAAGGGAGACGGTACAATTACAATACATTTCAGTACAGAAGGAATAGGAGGGCCCTGCTTGTGGGGCTTCCAATCTAAGTAAACCAATCATGTTCAAACAAAAATCCATGAACCATTGGTAAATTAACCTCAGCTGATGAATTTGTCAAAACATTTTTTTCAGAATATTTTGAAAATGCAAACTTGAGATTTTTGAACAGATGTATAGCAGTTCTTAAGTGAAAAACCCTCATTTTGATCAGCTACCCTGCTATAGTCCAGTTTTTTTTAGTTTGCACATCAGCATATGATACTATACATAATGCCACTCACCATGCCTTGATCCACCTTACATACAGGTTTAAACCTTTGTATTTAAAGCAAATAACGTATGTGATTGCACCAGAGACATCTGTCTGATCAGAACTTTAGAGGATAGGTTCACTTTTTGCAGCATGTTACATGTTGTACCTATATTTAGTGTGTAACGTGTAATACTCTTCAGGTCTGCACCCCTCATGATAGTAGGTGGGGGTTCCACTCCCTTCTGCACCAGCTGTCACTTTTCAAAAACAGCCCACAAAGTCACGTCATTCATTCATTCACAAAAATCTGTGAATGAATGAACTACAAGTCTCTGTCTGTAGCAGACAGCTTGTACTTTGCATTAAACCAAGGGCACCGATGAGTGATCTTGTAGTTCATTGATACTTCCTCAAGCTTTGTAACTATCTGCCAGGGGCGGACTGACAACTCATTGGGCCCTCGGACAATAGGGGATCATGGGGCCCCTGTGTCCTTGCCCAAACTCAAAAAAGCCTATGAAAAAGGTACCAGGAGCATCTCATGGGGCCCCCTACTAACCCCGGGCCCTCGGGCAGTGCCCGAGTTTCCAAATGGTCAGTCCTCCCCTGCTATCTGCCCATCTGGAGGTATGGTAGCTGGGTGGAGTGTAGCATTGATGTCACCACGCCTGCCGGTGAGAGCGTGGTGGTTCTGAGACATGTTGGATTATTTTTTATTATGTTTGTAAATACCTGTCTTTCTTCAATAAAGTGGTATTTGTACTGCATTATGGGGTCTGTTCTGTGTCTTTTCCATGCTGAGTTTTAATCTTTGGAGATCAGGAAAGGCTGTTCTTGTGGGCGAATGATTAATCTAGCCGCCCAGCAGGGATTGTATGAAAACCCATTAAGTGCTATTAGACCTTTGTGATTTTGGGGTCTAGTAATTTGGTAAGCAGTTTGGTGTGCTGCTGGAGGAGCACTGAATGGGTTAAATGTACCGAAGAGTCTCATCTTTTGAAGATGTGTCATTCACACATTTATGGACATTATTTAATTTGTCATTTATATACAGTACATTGAGCATTGTCATTCACAATATGATTATGGTGATATGGGGGGTTTATGTGATATACAGTGAATCAAAGCACATGTTACCCATAACAACTTGCTAAAAAATAATGTACTTTAGCAAGGAACATACATTCCACTTGAATAATTATGCCATCAAGATTAGTGTGCGCTGTAAATTGCCTCCAACATTGTTCCTGTTTCTTCTTGCCGCCTGACATTTTGTTGAAGCCCAAAGCCCCTGAACAGCATTAAATCTTTAGGCTGTCAGCAGATTGGTATCTGCACATTTGGCACAGTGCCTAAAAATAGAGAGTATCTGAGCATGTGTAGAGCATGATGAGGCAGTGTATTACTGGATTTTGAACAGTATAGGCACTTTTTTTTATTATGTTTTACATACTGTAGCTATATCTGCAAAAGGGGCCAGCATGAAGTGACCTAGCAGAACTTTCTGACTAATGTTGCATTTTAAGCTGATTGCACAATTTTGAGTTTACGTTTTAAAAAGACAATCTAACCCGGTTTGTTTATAAATGTTTTTGAATTATTGCACAATTTTGCATTTATGAGTGTGTTTATATACTGTATGTTTTATTATTCTTTTTATCCAATAATAATGAGCACAGCAGTTTTATATATACAAGGGATAGTTTGAGATCTTTGGCACAATTCTTTTCTTTGTAAGCTGGAGGAAGTGTCTGCAGGAGCCTGACATTGCACCTGTGATCTACTGATGTAATGTTTTGCAGGCTCATCAGAAAAAAATAATAATAAATGCACATTTTTTCCCCTGACTTTAAATCTACTGATTGGGCATTTGGTATACCAGGGACATGTACTGTATAAGATTATTATTCAAATATTACACTGCTCCATTTTACTCCATCATTAAGCCGTCAATTAAGTTACCCTTTACATCTCTTAAACCAGGGGTATTAAAATCCATGAAGGGCCAGTCAGTTTGTGTGAGGACTCAGATTCTTCACATCACAACCCCCTCTCCTCTTATATCTCAATTCCATTCCTACATCAGTATCCTCAGCCCTCCCGCATATCACAATCCCCAATTACATCACCTCCCATTTCCTTCACAGCAGTGTCCTCAACCCCCCTTCAGATCAATGCCCCCCCCTTACATCAGTGTCCTCCTCTGTTCTCATTTACCTCCCCCCACAGTACTGTCCTTCTGTGCCCCCATTTACCCCCCACATCAGTGTCCTCCTCTACCCCTTTCACTCCATTACAGTAGAGTCCTCCTAAGCCCTCCTTCACTCCCCACATCAATGTCCTCCTCTGTCCCCCTTCACTGCCCACATCAATATCCTCCTCTGCCCCCCATCGCTCCCCACATCAATATCCTCCTCTGACCCCATTTGCTCCCCACATCAATGTCTTCCACTGCCCCCTTCACTCCCCACATCAATGTCCTCCTCTGTCCCCCTTCACTTCCCACATCAGTGTCCTCCTGTGCCCCGCTTCACTCCCAACATCGATATCCTTCTCTGCCCCCCTTCACTCCCCACATCAATGTCCTCCTCTGCCCCCCTTCGCTCCCCATATCAATGTCCTCCTCTGTCCCCCTTCACTCCCCACATCAGTGTCCTCCTGTGCCCTCCTTCACTCCCAACATCAATATCCTCCTCTGCCCCCCTTCGCTCCCCACATCAATGTCCTCCTTTGTCCCCCTTCCCTCCCCACATAAAAAATCCTCCTCTGCCCCCCTTCGCTCCGACATCAATGTCCTCCTCTGCTCCCCTTCAATCCCCCCCACACAAGTGTCCTCCTCTGCCCCTTCACCTCCCTACAAAAGTCTTGTCCTTCACATCACCCCACTTATCCTTCACAGCCGTGTCCTAGGACCTTAAGTCCCCTACTTCACAAGGGCACACAGCAAAGTAGAGGGTGGGAGGCACAGTAGCACTGGACAGAGGCCAGGAGCTGCTGGAGCTAACTGTTCATATTAATAAGCTGTAGATGGTTGCCTGCACCTCCCAGTGACAAATCAGCTGCCGGTTAACTTGGGAATTTCCCATTCCGGCCTTATGTCCAGTGATGCTTAGCTTCCTGTCCTCCACTCTGCGGTTGAGGGTGGGGAAAAGAGCCATCTCCTAAGTGGTGACCACCGTGGTCGGGATTGTACAGTGATTTTACTTGGATCCAGACTACAGTCAGCCATTTGGTGATGTCTGTCGTAAACTATGGGGTTGACATACTAAAGGCAAATAAACTATGCACTTTGCAAGAGCAGTTGCTCCAGAGCTTAGTAAATGAGCATATGCTTTGCTGACTTCCCTCATCCAATCATGTGCAAGCAAAAATGCTGTTTTTTCTATTATCCTTGCAAGTGATTGGGTATTCTTTGCAAAGTGAACCTTTACTTCATTTACTAAACTCTGGAGCAACTACTATTGCAGAGTGCAACTGCACTTTACAAAGTGCACAGTCTAGTTGCCTTTAGTAAATCAACCCCTATATCTTAAAGTATGAATTTAAGCAGATTAGCTGATATTCTTCCAGAGTTTTTTACATCCATTTAAATATACTTTTTCTTACTAATGAGCTTCCTTAGAGCTTTCTTTACATCTTTATTTCTAAAACTATAAATCAGAGGATTCATCATTGGGATAACAGCAGTGTATAACACAGACAAGGGTTTGTCTTGCTTAAGCAAATAATGAGATGAAGGCCTCATATGCATGACTAGGACAGTGCCATAGAACAGAGTGACTACGGTTAGATGAGATGTACAAGTCGAGAAGGTTTTTCGCCTGCCAGAAGAAGAACTTATATTAAGAATGGTAGATATAATGAACACATAGGAGACTAGTGTCAGCAAAAAAAAGCCGGAAGAGCTACCACTGAGCCAACTACGTAAGTCAGAATTTCAATAAATAGTTTATCATCACAAGATAGACTGAGCAACAGTGACAGATCACAGTAAAAGTGATTCAGGATAGGTGGTTTACAAAAAGGTAGCTTTGATATGACCACAGTGTGAGCTAGTGGATCTAGGAATCCCACCACCCAACATATAATGGCCAATTGTAAGCAGACTCTTCTCTTCATTAGAACTGAATAATGTAAAGGTTTACAAATTGCAACATAGCGATCATAAGCCATTGCTGTTAATGAAACAAATTCCGTACAGGCCAATGACATAAATACATAGAGTTGTGCAATGCAGCCAGGAAAAGAGATCGCACTTGGGCCTGTTATGAGGATGGAGAGCAGCTTGGGCTGAGTAACTGAAGAGTAAGCTAGATCAAGGAATGAGAGATTGGAGATGAAAAAGTACATAGGACTGTGCAGTTCTGGATTCATACAAATAACAGTCACAATAATGAGGTTTCCCAAAACAGTGAGAAGATATATGATGAGAAATATGAGAAACATTGGTGCCTGGGCACCTGGAGTATCAGTCATTCCAAGAAGTAGGATTTCCATGCCATCACTGCTGTTGTAGGTCATCACCATCTCAGGCACTACGTTGTATACTCATTGCAAGAAGGAAACATAAATAAGAGAAACCTATAACAATATTTGCTAAGAATGAGCAAGGATACATTGTAATATACAGACAATAATTTTGAAGTACTTCTGCTAATTTGAGAGGCGGTGGCCTAAAATTTTCATTCTGCAACATGAAGTGCTGCTAGCATAGGGAGAAAACTTATCAGCCTCAGGTCGCTTAGACATGCAACCACTCAATGAAGTTGGACAAGAAGCTCTTTAACCTTAAACTACATGGGAGGTTCTTTATTGTTAGAGCGGTAAGGATGTGGTTGTGTCAGGGGGAAGTGTCGATAATTTAAAAATATGTGTAGATGAGCATCTTAGCAAGCGCAATATACAGGAATAAAGGAAATGGTAGAGAGTAACTATGTACTGGCAGGATCTCCAAGTAAGCAACATATAAAAATAATAATTTATTTAAAATGATAATAAACCCTGACATAAAGCTGCACCTGTTTATCTTCAGCCTTCTCTCCTACACAGCCTTCTAAAGAACACAGTTTAACTGGCATTTCTCAGGTGTAATCTGACACCTGAGTGGAGGGAACAGACACCCCGCCTCTACACAGTCCTATAGGAAAACATGGATGGCTGAGGCTGTCAATCATATGCCATGTGCAAAGAGGTGGTGGGTGGTTTGTCACCAAAGATTGCCTGGTGTCTGGAACAAACTGTAAAAAATGACTCATGTAGATAGCAGAGGAAGGAGAGAGCACAGAGAAGCCACATTAAGTGCTATGAGCTAAAGATGGCCATAAATTAATCAAATATTGGCCGGTTCAGCAGGGACCAGCCTAAATTCCATCAATCAACTCAACAGTCAAACCAGCCTGTTAGATTTTTTTGCATACAGGTAATGGCTATAGCCACTAGCAGTAATCATTGTGTTCAGATGGCAGGGAAGGCTCCCTGCCAGCAGAATACAATAGCACCACAGGAGGGATTCCCCATCAACAGATTTTCTTTCCTGCAACCCATCGAAAAAAAATTAATCATCTATAGCTTGCCTTATGCAAGCACACACTATTTGGGGAATGAACTAAGGTTCTTGCACTAATATAATGGCCTAGGAAGTTGTAAGAAGTGGCATGCACCACATTATCAGAGCAGATAGGCCCCTAAATCAATCAACCTCACTGTGTGACTACACGCCCATTATGGATGTAGGAAAGCACTATGGTGCTTGCATGCATCAACGTGATGATGTCACCTTGCTAGTAGTATAATGTTAAAACAGCGTTATCATGTGTAGGTGCATGACTTTGTTTTGGTAATTGGATCTAAAGGCAGGGAAAGTGAGCAGTACCTAATCTATAAACCGAGTTCTAGAGTGAGAACATTTAAATTTACTACTTTTTGCAACAATCGCTATCATCATTACTGCACATAATTCCACTGGCAAACCCTTAAAATTTTGTGACACCTAGAGACAAAAGGTTTTTATTAGTTGTACATTTACAATTGAAAGTGGAACTAAGGCTACCGATTTAACATTGTCCCAAAAACAGTTACATTCATGCAACAGTTTTCTGTGGTTTCAACCGAACTGTGAAGCCATGAAGTTGCTGGTATCAAAGCTGATCACATGTTCAGAACCATGGTATCTGCAGATGAAATGAAGGCTAAGATAGCATCCTCCTTATTGGAAGTAGTGGTTAGAAAGGTTTAACTGCTTCCCGACCACCCTCTATCAGAACAACTGCTACAGGGCGGCAGGGCTGCGCAAAATTATGTATATATATATATATGATTTTGTATTTTACGGGTAGGGGGAACACAAGTGCCCTACCATTGGTGGCTTCAACTGTCGGTCCCGGCCAGTGATTCCCTAGGTACACTGACTGGGGAGAGACCTGTATGTGAACAATACAGATTTCTCCCCTGTCAGCTCCAGCACACTGCTTTCTAAGGCTCTGCATAGCCGAGCTATACAAAGCAGTGTGCTTACAGTGTAAAGCATAGCACACAGTAAAATACACACATCGCACAATTAACCCTTTGATTGCCTTGGATGTTAACCCCTTCCTGCCCAATGTCATTAGTACAGTGTCAGTGCTTTTTATTAGCACTGATCACTGTATTAGTGTCACTGGGGATGTCAGTGGCAATTAGTCAGTTCCCAGTGTCAGAATGCCCGCAAACAGTCCCACGATGAGTCGCTGATCCCCGCCATTACTATCGTCAGTCTTTTTTTGTTTATATTGCAATAAAATAAAAATGCAGAGGCGATCAAATACCACCAAAAGAAAGCTCCATTTGTGGGAAAAAAAGAACATCAATTTCATTTGGATGCAGTGTTGCATGACTGTGCAATGGTTAGTTAAAGTATCGCAGTGCCATAATGCACAAAAAATGGCCTGGTCAGGAAGGGGGGTAAATCTCTGGAGGGTTAACCACAAGAGAGGACTATGTGTGTAGACTCTTTTCCTCCCTTTCTCCTGTCAACAGTGGAGGGGGGGGATTGGTAAAACAGAGAGAGGACTGGACAGGAGGATCATGGGACATGTAGTCCCCAGAGACAGGCTGCCCACTGGAAATAATTAAGGAAGAACTATAGCCCCCACCAAGCTTTGTAGCAGTAAGGAGGACAGAACCAGATTGTTCCGGAAAAAGTTTTCCCCTCAGTTCAGTGCTATCCAGGCAGAGTGTGTGAGGGGAATGTGTTGGAAGATGCTATCTGAGGGAAAGAGTGTCTGTGCCAGTGAAAGTCCACTGCTGTGTGTGGAACTACCAGAGAGTACAGAGCATCAACCGTGTGCGGAGGAACATAGCCGCTGCCAGGGTACAGACCTGCTGTGTTGCTTACCAGTATTGCCATGGGTAACCTGGAGTGAGCAGACTCCTGACTGGGGAGAGGAATCAATGCTGCTGTGTCACTGGGTCTGGTGAGAGGGCCTTGTGGCACCTATTTGTTACCACAGCTAGAGACTGAGCCATTAGGAACTACCTACCAGCTACCTTGTAGCTCTAATACTGCCTGCAGGCCTTATTGACTGCCTTAAAGCGCACCAACGGTTACCAGGCCCTCAACGCTTAGCCGGCTGAAGAAAAGACTACCCCCTAACAATTACTGCCCTGAGGCCTTGTCCCTTTGCTTAGCGAAAGAGGTACCTCTTAAGAGATGCTGTACCACAGCCAATCCCCAAAAGATCCAGCATACATATAATTAATGTTTAATACATACAATTCATTTTAATAAGCCTGTGTGCATGAGGCCTAAGACTGCAGTGAACTACAGAGTTACTATATAGTATATACTGTATATAAGCAAGTTTGCCTGATACAGAGACATGAGAATCAACCCTGAGTCAAGGGCTGCCAAGTCCCCTAATTGTGCCATAAAAAAATTGAGTTTCTGCTCTATTAATGTAATGGATTATTACAATATTATATACATGTTTGTTAGTATATTATATCTGCTCTTTTTTATGTTAATGTAGCTGCCTCAATTGTCACACAGTGATGAAAATTGTACAGATCAACTGAAGCGTGTTGGTGATCTGTGGCTAAGATTTTGAGACCTTCATTGGTGTATGTTTTAGTACATGCCCAAAAGTCAGATCACAGCAGAATGAAAAAAAGGATTTTGGAGAAGGCTGAGAAGCTACTTTTTTGAGTTGAGAATACATATATTTTTTTTAAACCAGAGTTTAGTGCCACTTTTACCCGTCTCCCACCCGCCATATAAGGAAATGATGGATGGGCGGTGGTTCTCTTATTCTGGGAGGATGTCCCACTCAAGCTGCCCATGTGCGCCCCCGCGGCGATCGGTGGTGCGTTGTGTTCCTGGGATACAGCAGATCGCTGATTGCAGTAAAGACTCCATCATGTGATCAGCTGTGTCCAATCACAGCTGATCACATGTAAACAGGAGATGCCGCTTACCAGTGCCAGTCACTGCCATCAATCGGTGCCGCCTAACAGTTCCAAGCAGTGCAGCCCATTAGTACCTATATAAAGAGAATGACAGGCGCATAATTCAGCAGTCCATGTATCTGTAAATAAATGTATAAGTTCCAATATGGGCAAAGGCAATCCAGTATGCACTAGGGCAGGCCGCGACGGAGTGAAGCAAACTCTGCAGTAGAAGAAACAAATGACACATTGGGATGCGCCGCATTTCTAGCATGAGCGGGACCAGTGTCGGGCCTGATGAAATAGCGCGCCGGGCGACACTGGTTCTGTGCATGCTCAGAAATGCATTGCATCCCGATGACGTCAGATGCCCAACATGACTAGCTCCGGACATATTGGATAACCATCCAGGCTTCACAATCCATGCCTTATTTGATGCAGTGCCGCCTGCTGACCAATCAGGGTTCACTCCTCTCTGGAACAGCCTTTTACATCTGGCGACAGATGTACTACACTACATCCCTATGAGCCTGTATTTACTGTTCAGATGTGAGTTGTAAAACTTACCTTCTTATTAAAATGTGTCACACTGTTTAAATTTAGAGGTGCTGTGTTCTTTGTTGTTTCCACCCATCAGTACCGCCTGCCAGTGCCATATATGAGTGCTACCTTTCAGTGTCCATCAGTGATGCCTGTCAATGCCCACCAGGGATGCCTTCAATGCAGCCTATCAGTGCCCATCACTGCAGCCTCATTAGCACACATCAGTGACGGAAAACGTTTACAAAATTTTATAACAGAAACTAAGAAAAAACTTTTTTTTTTCCAAATTTTCAGATTTTTTAGTTTGTTTAGCAAAAAATAAAAACCCCAGTGGTGATTAAATACCACCAAAAGAAAGCTCTGTTTTTTAAAAAAATATAACAATTTTGTTTGGGTACAGTGTTGCATGACCGCGCAATTGCCATTCAAAGTGCAACAGCATAGAAAACTGAAAATTGGCTTAGACAGGTAGGGAGTAAAAGTGCCCGGTAGGCAAGTGATTAAGAGACCCT